TTTTAATAATTTTATTGAGAAAAAAGTAGCAATGAGAGAGTTTCAAAACAAGTTAGCGGTGGGGCCAGGGAGATAGCTCAGTAGAATAAGCGCTTCCCTGGCAGGCGCAAGGGCCTGAGTTCAATCCCAAAAAAAAAAAAAAAAAAACAAGTTAGTGGTACATTTGTCTCAGGGAGACAAGGTAAATGAATTTTATACCACAAACCTAAGCAAGACTGGCTTCTGCAAAGTATTAGCTCCTGAGAACATTCCGTCAAGGGCCCTTGTTCAATTTTAATGAATTAATAAAGGATAAATGAAGGAGAGGTGAACAGCTAAACAGCCCAAAATCTGAATTAAGGTGAGCCAAAATGTCGGCCACATTTTCCCATGTGCCTTCACCTATTTTAAAATGCCTTTTCTTATATTTGAGGAAACATCATCTATGTTCTCATATGGTAGCTATTTTTATTATATGTGCTCCAGATTTTCCAGTTTTCTGAGCTCTTTTTCCTTTTTCCCTACCTTCTAAAATTCATTTGCAACAGGAGGAACACAACTCTACACAAACGCTTTCTAATTCCATTCTACACAGCTCTGCGCATTCACAGGGTACATCCAATAATAACTTCACTACAAGTAAGAAACTTAACTTCACTACAAGTATGACCGTTGCTGAAATAATAAACACTTTGTGCCATTTTCTGGTAGGGATATTAAAATCAGCTCAAAGGTAAAACCAAAACTGACACCAAGAGGGTAACCGTAATTTCTCTGAGCATGATCACAATGTTATTTTGTTTTTATAAGAACCAATACTTGCTTGTGTTTTAAGTTATGGGCAAATACTACTTTGAAAAATTTATGTGGAATTTGGCATTTTACATATTCAGTAATATGTTCAAAACATCTTTCATTTTGCTGACTTTTTAGACGTCACTGAAAATATCAGTCCATGCTGAAATGGGTCCGTCCGTCCGCCGTGCAGAGGGCGTCCATGCAAGCCAGCCTGGCGGGCACACTCACGTGAGGAAACGCAGGGACACAGGCCCTGCTGGAGCTGCTGGCTGGCCTAAAGCTCACGCAAACCAGCAGTTTCCTATTAGTAAATGTCAAAAGAATATGAAATAAAACCAGTAATTCAATTATGCCCGGTAGTTATAAAAGTTAGCAAACTTCTACAGCAGCTATTTTAACATGCTCCTGGCTTTATGTGCTTCTGTCCTACAATTAAGTCCGTGCAAGAGTCCCTATGTCACTAAAGTTATATTATTCTCCCCACCAAAAATAAATGTGCATAATATTACAGTAGCACGGCATACACGTATCAGCTGTAATTCTATTGTTTGCAGGCAAGAACAGAGTGACACTGGTAAGGAACTGGTGCGCGGCCTCACCTTCATCGCGTCGAGAGCCAGCTTCAGATTGGCCTTTTCCACAGAATCAGTGGTGTGCTTGACCAGCTCCTGCGGGAGACACAGCAGTCAGTGCTGCGCGAACACGTAAGCAATAAAGCACTCCTCAGCCAGGTAGGGTGGCCCAAGCCTGTCATGTCAGCACTCTGGGAGGCTGACGCAGGACAGAAAGGTCAAGCCCGCTCTGGGCAATGTAGCCGGACCCTCTCTCAAAACATAAAGTAAAAAGTAACCATGAAAAGGCTTGGGGATGTGAAGGCCTGGACTCAGTCCTCAGGACCGCCAAATGCACGCATGCGTGAGTGAGTGAGTGACCCGTATGGTCCTTCTCTCATCAGTAAGATAAACTTAACTCAGCCAGGCTCTATTTTCATCACAAGCATCCCACTGCAAGAAGACTGCCCAGACACCAAACAGCATGCAACAAACTTGGAAGTATTTTCTTTTCAAAGCAAATCTGAACTCACCGCTCCACTCACACCCTAATGCGGAGTCCTAATTGTTAGGAACACTTCCCGATTGCTAACTGAATGGATCCCTGTCATACACTGTCACATAGGAATTCTCTTTAGGCTTCGATTCTGATGACCACAGCTCCCTCCACTTCAGGGACATCAGGATGCCTTACTGTCCCTGTGGTCATTGTTTCTTTACAATTTCTAAAGTTCTGGCTATTCTTTGGTCTTTCATAGATTTTTCTTTCTTTATCTGCACCTCAGAAAGTTATAATTCCCTAGATTTTCACCCTATGCTCTTATTCTTAGTGTACCTACCCCATGAATCCTACTGCAACAACTGTAGGAACGTCAGCTGTCACCTAAGGAGGCCATCGCTCTACGTGTGCACCAGAATTCAAGCCAAGGTCCCCGACCCAAACATCCAGCTAAGCAGTTCTACCTGGGTCTCCCGGGCTCCTCACAGCCAACCTGCCCTTAACTTAATGCACGTTCACTCTTCCTCCCATGCCTGTCTGGCTGGCCGATGGCACTGTTGTCAGTGGAATCGCCTAGCCAGAAGTGGGAACGTGGCCCAAACGCCACACTCGCCCTTCCCTCACTCCATCAGGCCCCTGGAAACCATCCTCTCGGCCGATGCTGAGCTCCGGCTCCTCTCTCGTTTTCAAACAGGTTCTGATAACAGTTTTCCGTTGTCTGATGGAGCCTGTGCACACTCTCCCAGCAGCAGCTGGGTCGGCGCCTACCTCCACTGGCCCACCTCCACCTCCACCCAGTCTTCAAGTTTCCTGCTCAGGCTTCTGCGGGGCTAAGGCCCCCCTGGTTGGAGCCCTGCACCCTCACCTACTGTCTCACTTTCCAAATCTACCCAAACAACCCGCATTCTATTCAAACTAAATTCTATTCTCACAACATGTGACAATATCTAACACCCATAAAAACACACGATTATCTTTCTTTAGAAATGTTTTCTCCCCCCATCCTGTCCCTCTCTTGGACAGGAGCTTTCTTTCTCTTAATAAATATATTCTGCTCATTAAAAAAAAAAGAGGGGCTGGTGAGATGGCTCAGTGGTCTAAAGC